TTGACCATGGGATGCATACCTATTTAAATACAGACACAACATATTTCCATTCTTATTCGGCATCTTGAACTGAAAATCCATATTTTTTGCTTATAAAACATGTTTGTTTGTTTTTTTGCAAGATAAAAATAAATGCCCTATTTATAACTGGTATTTATGTGAATGACGTATTTTCCTTAATCCAGGGCGTGGACTGGATGCTGCGATGATCGAGAGCGCCGCCGTATAGTAAACCAGTATATTATATCAGTCTATATATATACTGCCATTTTTAAGGAAAAATATAAAACAAAATCATTTCGGTGAACTTTGTTATTAAGTGGACAATTTTAGTTTGATTAACTTAAAACTGACGTAAGTGATACATGGACATATCTGAGTATAATACGTGGGAACAGAGAATTTCCACCTGAATTTGTGAACAAATAGAAATAAAATGTATTCACGAATTGTGATGTAGACTTACAAGACAATCTTGAAAGACGTTGTGAAAGAAAACACGTTTAAAATCATTGTGCGATTACATATCACGGGTACCTCGATTGTACATAATTGTATCGTTTCTATGGTTACCATATACGTACACGTTAATATTAATTTAATGTAATTGTCGCTCGTTTTTCAAGGTGGCGTTTGAAGACATATTTGCAGAGCCTGACAGTACCCATAGTAGTGACTATGTATGGGGATCGTCATTCAGGTGCTTCAACAAGAGCAAAACCTGCTGCTACAATTGTCTGTCAACGGTGTGTGCCGTGCCGTGTGCAGTGTACTGGGGGTTGGTGTTTGCGTGCACCATCTTCTGGCAGATCTGGTTCATCGTACCAAGTCTGCGGCTGCTGGCCATCAACATGTGGGCGGTCGGCAAGCAGAACTCCCTCTACGTGCACGCCCTGTGCGATCCATGGTGCGAGTCGTGTGGTCGGCTCTTCTCGCAGATTAAAGTGCACGTATTAAAAGATTGAGCGAGAGAAAGTAGCACCCAATCATCAATATTTAAACGAATTTATCCGCTGGGAACTTATAGCTAGTAACAACGATACAGAATAAGTATATTAAATCAGTAAAGTTTATGCAAATCAGCCGCAAACTCCCACTTTTAGCGAAAGGGAATTTTAGTTCTCCCCCTCAATTGCATAATAATATACGAACTATCACTGTTTGAAATATTAGACTGAGCAGCATTGTCTAAGTCTCCATGACTAATGTATTCCATTTGTATATTTGTTATACTGTTGATTTAGCTATATTTAGATTCTAAGAAAACAATACTAGTAATTCATTTAAGTAACATTCGTCAGATTAATTTCAATTCATCAGTTATGTATATTAAGTTAATTATATTAAGTTATAGATGTAGATATGTGAGCACTCGCAGCTGTCCATGTATCACAGTTTGTGCTTCACTCAGTACAAACATACTAACATTTGTTTGTAAGGTAAATTTAATAAATAACAGTGTACCTAACACTGTCTAAAATGATATAAGGTAATTAATGCTCCAATCGACCATAAATGTGCATCTTTATGGATGTTCAATAGAGTTTCACTTCTGTGTTGTGT